TCCTCAGGCTCTTTCATTCTTCATAAGATATTTATTCTATCTCCTGCAAATTTCACCACTTTTGTCCTTCCTAAACTCAAGAGCATTCATAATTGGGTCATGACAACGAGAGAATGCTTCTAGAACTAGTAACAATCATTCAAACATGAAAAGAGATTCTATTGAAAAATTCAACACCCCAACATTTCTTGCTTTTAAGAAACTAGTAAAATAAATCCTTTCAATTGATGTATTGATAAAAAACAAAGTATCCCAAATTCTTGGCCCCAGGCATGGGGTGGGAAGGCAACTATTTACTGCTGGGGCAAGCAGAAGATTTTACTAGACGAGAAAAAGGGAAGGGGAATGGAGGAGAAAGCGCTACTGGCTTTCCACAATCTGTGGGAGAAGGTGGCTTCCAAGGGTGAAGCTGAAAATGCAGTGAAGCTGTGGCAGGGGCTCTGGAGCTGCTGGTTTGGCGCAGTGACAAGTCCAGTCTGGTGTCAAGCCTGGGTGGGGCTCTAGGTCATGATGGAGTAGACTGATGGGACTGAGGTAATCCTGAAGAGGGTTCTTTTCCCCAGCTCAGTCCCATAACCAGTCTTCTCAGAAACTCCAAACTGGAGACAATTAGAACTCAACACAGATGGAAGGCAAAACAAACACTCATACAAACTCACTTGATGGCAGTTGTCTTGCTCTGGGACTTCCAGAAAAGAACTCTGCTTCCAATTTGGTATATCTCTGAGGACAGAACGAAAGCCAGGGGTCTACAGAACCACAGGGCCACAAACAAAGGCTGTGGGTAGACTAAATCTGAAAAGGCTTAGTTCTTTTTTTTTTTTTAAAGACGACCAGTAAGGGGATCTTAACCCCTGACTTGGTGTTGTCAGCACCACGCTCTCCCAAGTGAGCTAACTGGCCATCCCTATATAGGGATCCGAACCTGTGGCCTTGGTGTTATCAGCACCGCACTCTCCCAAGTGAGCCACGGGCCAGCCCTTGAAAAGGCTTACTTCTGAAGTCATGCTCATTCTCAGGAGCATGCAGTCAATGTGTACAGCAGCCTTAGACAGGAAATCTTACTTTTTCTTTCACTGTTCAACACCATCATGGAGAAAGGTAGAAGCAGACCAGTCAGAGGAGCTAATTCTAATGAACTTGATATTAAGAGAAAAAAGCAAGAAGCAATAGCAGGTGTGATGACCCCGTTTTACCACATTTCCCTTACCAACAGGTGCCAAATCCAAACAGCACCTTGGTGATAATGCCTGGAACATAGTAAGTGCTCAAGTGCTTGTTATAGTTACCTAGTTATAATCTCCCTCTGTCGTGGCTTTTATTGCAGAGGCTCAAGGAATATGATGACATAATGGAAATGAACTATTTTGCTGCTTCAGCCCAGAAAGTTTATTGCTCTAGAGATATAAAAGTTATTTTCCTGAATCCTAGCAATATTGTCCTTGTTAATGGCCAAGTCTGGTTGTTAGACAAGCACTTCGTAAGTATTTCACCTGAATTCCAAATTCCATTCAACCCTGGTCTATCTTGCACCCCAGAATGTGGTGCTGCATTGAGGGAAACGGAGTGCAATACATGGCTACTTTAATCCATCTGCTTCTCTTCAGCCATGTACCTCATCCCAGCAAAACAGAGGTATGTACCTGTTGGGGCTGAATAAAGCCAATTAAGCAACACAACTCCATAAAAATTATCACCCGTTGCTGCTTTCTTCCACATTAAATAAATTTTTTTGTTGGAATAATTTCTATAGATTACAGCATTCTCTAAAGAAATATTCAGAAAAATATTTGGATAGGAACAGGCCCAAAGGATAATCTAAAATTTAACATCTGGCAACAACTTTGAACTTTTAGCTTACTTCTAACCCTCATTTTTTTTTTTTTTTTTTTTTTTTTTACTCTTCTCTTTATTCAAGAAAAACTGATAGCAGAAGGCTGAATAATCTGCCTAAACATTTTGGGCATTTAATCTTCCAATGTAGACAGCCCTCCAAGAAGCTCCTACAATGCTAATAAGATACAGTGCATCCATCAAAAACACATTTGATTTTCTGTGTCTCCTCCTAATCCCAATACAGATAATTTTATCAGCTCACTGTAATCCATAACCAACACCTGAGAGCTTCCAAACCCCAGTGCAAGACACCACCCACGTTACATATTTAAGGCCACGGAAACTGACAGTTCTTTTACCAGGTTTTCTGTGGCACAATTGAAGGCTTTTACAAAGAATGAATTAAACATGGCTAGAACTGAGAAAGGCCACAAACAAGAACAGATCTATGTTTATATTCCCCCTCTCCCAACCAAGGGCACTACTTCAGAATCAGGAGCCTCTTTTTCCTATTAAAATAAGTGATTTTGCCCACAGTGTGCCTTTATCTTGGAGGGAAGAGATAAGACTTTGTAAAATAATTGCCAAGGGTCAAGAAAATACACAAGTGCCAAAATAGCTGGGCATGAAGTCTGCAGATCAGACAAGCACAGCGAGAAGCTCCTGATTTAGATCTCTGTCTGGCAGAAACAAGGGCTGTTATGAAGGAAATTGCTTTAAACGGTTGTAGGTTGGGGACCATGGTGAGGTTGCTGAAATCTAAGGTCCAACACAGAAATCCACCTGAGAGAGGGCAGATATCAAGAGGCTGGAATGCAAGCCTGGGACTCAGTGAAAAGGAAGTTTTGGTGTCTACATCTGGGCTTCACTCAAAAGAGGGCACTGTCCGTCTTCTCTTGTTCCCCTATATTCTGTTATGTAGAAACCCTCACTCCATGCATATGGCTCCCTCGGGTCTTTTTCTTTCCTCCCCTTTTATTAAAAAAAAAAAACCTTACAGTTTATAATTTAAAATAAATGTCATTAACTTGAGAAATGCTGTTGCTTTCTCAAAATAAAACAATTGCTTAGATCTTGCTGAAAGAGATTTAAGACCCTTTTAACATTATATCTGACAGCATAGAAGGCATGAACTTTTCCTATTTGTGTAGTTTATGTACATATGTGTGAATATATATGTATATATATTTGCATTTATATAATGTCTGTTTAATATGTAACATTCCATACTTCTGATAACAGAGGTTGCATTCAAGATGACATTTCACACCTCTGGAAGAAAGGAAATAAATTAGTTTTCATGACTTTTTCTGTCCTATAATAAAGCCATGGATGACAAATGTTAAAACTGTGTTGTTAGGACAAATCTACCAAGAGTATGGGAGTAACAATTGAAATTTGCTACCCTCACACTTTTTTCTTTTCTTCTTTTTTATACAAGAATAATCATTACTTTTAAGAGAGTGATGCTTCAGATTTGGATTTCCTTTCCAAATTTAACTGAGAGAATAAGAGGAAGAAGCAGCAATTTAAAAGTTAAAGGTGGAGAGATAAAATTACCCTGCCCATAGATCTCCTAGTACAATGGAAAAAATCTTTATTCCAAACAAAAATCATAGCTTACAAATAGAATTTTTTTAAAATAGGAAATATTCAGGAATTCCTGCTATGGTATGGTTAGCCCTTTTCTGTGTGGAAGAAAGGGTGTTGTTTATTTCAGATGGCTTATGAACAGCACATCTGAATAACCTCTCCAGTGGAGAGTAAGTGATGACTGCTCCCACCACGGGGAGGAAAGAGCACAGGACGTATGATGAGGAAGATGCTATGTAGAGACACAAATATTCATAGTTTTGTAAACTTTAAAGAGGAAAAAGAACACCCTTTATTACAATTGGGGTAAAAAAAAAAAAAAAAAAAAAAAAAACCCCCCTTTTAAAAAAAAAA